ACACACTTAATTATCACCTGTCCCTGTTTACAGTCCATTCATGTACTACATGTTTAATTGCTGCGCGTTCTGCCCTTTTAATGTATTAGTTTATCAGTATAAAATAAAGCTCTTTATAATCTATAGTAGACCACAAATACATTTAATTTACAAAGCTATTCAATTTCATGCTCAAAAATATTTTTTAGAAAATGCTTTTTGATGATGACAGAACATCTCATTTCTGGACTACCTGTCCTCACATGACAAAAGCAGTGTGGCCCTTCACCCACATTCTGAAGCTCTCAGTAAGGTAATTTTGCTTTCAGGCAGACTTCAAGTAGTAAGTAAAAAAAGATAAAGCTATGGTTTTTTTCAATGTATGCTGTTCAGCTTTCTGATATCCTTACTCATATGGAAAATCAAAACTAAGCACACATAATCTACTAATATATATGATATACAGTTTCTCAAGTAGTTTTCTACAGCAGTAAAAACAAAAAAAAAAATAAAACAAACCCAGCAGTGATTTGCGGCATACCTGCAGGACAGAGTACAACTGGCCAGCTAGTTTTCAAGGCTGTAAATCCTGAGAAAGCCGATCTCTGCATCTTTCTCCTTAGAGTGGTTAACAGGTTTGAACCAAAAAGTTTGGGTAGCAATTAAATGCATATCTACTGTACCACCAGGCCTCTTTATCAATACAGAAAATGACCCTGGCTTTTGTAGTGAATCCACGAAACTCCTTTTCCTTTAATTGATTGTCTTCCTTAGTCTGGTCACTTTTCCCCTTAATCTTAACACATCTCTTTCATGTGTTAAGAACACATTAAGGATGCAATTACAACTTATACTTTATATTATATTATTACATACTTCTACATATTAATGAAGAGTCATTTTTTCCCCTAGCAAATTTTAATATTAAGAATGTTTTAAACCTACTACTTACTATCAAAATAGTTAAGATTTTAAAAAGTAATAAGAAGAATGCATTATTCTAAAGCCTGGCAATCCAGTTTTTAATTAAATGATTGCAAAGAATATACTAATGATGCATTAAAAAGTTCTTTGAGAAAGAAAGGATTTGAAAAATTAAATACACCAACCAATAATAATTTAATGAAGGTGGTTTTATAATTTCCCAAAATGTTAACAATAAAAATGCTTTGATACCTGACATTTCTTAAGAATAATCCTAAACTGACCAACATTAATAAATATGAGATTAACTTTAGCCTTACTCTTTATAACTCAAAAAAGCAACTATCATAGAAGAAAAGCAGATCATTCCAAAATCTCATAAGGATTTCAGTTTTAACATTAACAATTAAATAATGTACAAGCTTAGATATATAAACTCATTAATTCCCTAGGGTGATTCTGAACATTACAGTTAACATAATTTAGTAAAGTAGTAATCTGTTAATTTCTGTTATTATAAATAATTGCTGACATTTCATTTTAAATGAAACTAAGAAAATCACTGGTATGTACAGCATTCATACTACTATGTTACTAAGAAGAAAAATTATAGGGAAAATGACATATATCAGGGAGTAATTTTATCAATTTCTCTATGAAAAACAAAAATAACATATGTGTTCGTTACCTGTAATATTCCTAATTTTAGACCATTACCACAGCCAAACTTTAGAACTATTCAATTTTTTTCCCAGTTAGATATAGTGGGATCTGAGAAGCTAGCAAAGCGTATGTAATTATACAGTTATTTTATTCACTGACTGACTGTGTACAAACTTGGGCTCCATTCTCACGTAACAGAGGCAAACACTAGGGTGCTGCTGAAAGAGCCAGAGCAGAAGAGCATCAACATACTATGGAAGTGTGATGACAATTCCAAAGGCAAAGAGAAGTAGGTCTTAGCAGTATATATATATGTATATATATGTGTGTATACATATACATATATATCTATCTCCTGTGTTTTCTGGCATGAATACTTAAGAACTGCCTCATTAGAATTTAAATCATTTCAACAGGTCTGAAGTTTTAAATTACCAAGACAAATTATGCATTAATAAGAATGACACAATTGTTTTGTATTTTTTGGTCATCTTCCAGTAGGATAATGGTTTTCATAATTTTCTGCCTTTGAGAAAGTAATAGGATTTTTTTCCTCTTAAGACAAAAAAGCCAAAACAGAAGAGGTCTTCTTTCAAACAAAGTAAAAATCAAATCCATATAGGCACAAAAACGCAACTAGAAGTTCCAACATAAACATTACCTTATGTCTTTGTGCATTATAAAGGACAGGTTTGCAAGAAGCAGTGGCATCCACTTCCTCAACAACATGCCTCTGAAAACTCTATGAACTTTGTTTGATAAATGCTGATGCTTTAGGCCTTTTGTTCATAGGGTCGCTATGAGTCATGCTTGACTCGAAGGCAATCGACAACAACAACATATTAAAATTAGGTTAAAGTACAGCTGAATATTAGAAATATCAGTAATAGTTCCTCATGTTCAAGCTGACAATTGGTGTAGGCAACTAGTGTTTATGTAATTTAAATAACCCAGAAATAAAACAGCTTCTGTTAGAGAAAATCATCTAAGGTGTGGAGGAAGTATTTAAAACAGAAGAATTAAAACAGAAAATTCAGAACGTTTCTTTTCACGATAAAGACTTTTCTTATTTTTTTCCTGCCATTTCAAACAACTTAAATGATAGAGAAGGCTGTATATGCATAGTGGTACCAGTACAGGATAACAATTTATGTTGGAACTTCTAGTTTTGTTTGTATAAGGTTTTACCCCCTGGTATGCATTGAATTATCACTATGTAATAAACATATTTTCAGGTGATAAGAGACTTGTTTGTTGTTAGGTGCCATCAAGTCAGAACCAATGCATAGCTGACCTTCCAGGAGGTTTTCAGAGGCACTAAATCTCATGAGAGGAGACTGCTCCTCTTTCTCCCAACCGAGCATCTCAACTGTGTGTCTTTCGGTGGGCAGTGCATCTCCTTACCATTAGGCCCCCAGACTTCCTGTCTATGGATTCTTAGACACTTTACTGAAAGCAAAGAATGCCATTCTCTTTATTTCATAAAGTGGGTTAAGGCTTGTATAACAAAGTAAAAACTGAAGCAAAAAAAAGTCCTCCTGAGTAATTTTCTTAAATTTGATATTCTTAACTTGATAGCAAGTACAAGTACTTCTTTAAAAAAAAAAGATTACCAAGTAAATCTGTGTTTTAACTAGTACATAAAGTTTTCATTCTAAATAAGTAAAAATAAGCAGAATGAAGCCAGGCAACTCGGTATAATAGCAGAACAAAGACCTGTTCTTCTGATGTTCAGTTCATTACTCCTCCATAGTTATCACAGTACTTTTATTTCACTCTTCCTCCTTTTCCCTGTTACTCATTGCAGAACAGAGGAGGAACTTAAAAGTTCTCAGGGATACAATATAGCTAACCCAAGATTACCAAGGCTGATTATGGCAGAGCTGGGATAAAAATCCAGCTCACATTTAAACTCAAAGCTTGAGTCACTTCCAACTAAGAGAGACCTGACAGAGGAGAACTGCTCCATGGGGTTTTCAAGTCCCTGAATCTTTACAGAAGCAGATATCACACATTTCTCCCACAGAGCACCTGGAGGGTCCCAATCGTTCACCTTACAGTTACCAATGAAACACTTTAATCACTGAGACACCGGGGATCCTCAGCTCACCTCCAGTATTTCTTAAAGCTCTCCCATATAAATTAACAAAAAAATGTAGTATCTGAAGTACTTACCTTTAACTCAAAATTTTTCTATAGTATGTAGTCATTATATAAAAAGAGTATACTTAACAGAGTGTTTCGATTATTTTAATGGCAAAAGTATGTATCAATTTAATGTAATTTGATTTTGGAATTCTGTTACCTTATGTATTGAGTTCTTCCAAAATACAATTGTTTCCAATTAAAAAAAATATATATATATATACCAATTTAAGGATTAACAATGGCTTGTGATAAATTCCCTTAAACTACTGAAGGACCATGCAAAAACTGCATGCTAGTTTAAGGGTTATTTGTATATTCACTTCCATTAAAGCTATTGATAGTCATAAAAATACAAAGAAGACACGTAAATTAATACTATTTTCTGCTCTTCTTAGGACAAAAGACAAATCTCATTCTGATGATGGTGACCAATGTGTCACAGTATAGAACTCAGGTTTCCCTGTCCATACCCTTCAGAACCACCACATGGGTTCAAACTGCCAACTTTGAGGTTAAGAAATAAATCATAAACCACTTGTACTCTCAGGGATCTATGTGAGCTGTCTTGCTGTTGTGTGCACTGAGTCAGAACTAACTCATAACTGATCGTGTGGTGGGTTTTTAGAGTTAATCACAGGAGAGGAGATTGACCATCCTCCTGCAGAGCAACTGGTAGATGCAAACTGGATGCCTTTGGGGCTGCAGTCCAGCTTCTTACCAGTAGGCCACCAGAGCGGTCTAGCAGCTCCTTATTAACTGAAAGCAGTCTCTGGGACAACTATCAAAATGAGCTTAGTGTGGGGCACCAGACTGCCCCTTTTCTGAATAAAAAAGGTTAACTCCACTGCTTTATAAAATTGTTTGTGAATGTCCACGTAATGTGGCAAAAATAATCTGTCTCAGTCATATCACAAATTGAATATATATATAACTAAGCTGGCAAAAAATATAGGCATACTATCTAGATCTTTCAGGAAAGATGATACAAGTGTACTGAGAAAACAATGAAGTAGGCAAGAGGGCCCTTAACGCAAACAACATTTTGTCAAATCTTTTGCTTTAGATATTTTAGTTATTGGCTACCAGTGGTTCAAACCTATGAGCTACTTCGTGAGAGAAAGACGAGACAGTGTGGCTTAGAAGTCCTACAGGGTGGTTCTACTCCATGAGTTGGAATGAACTCAGTGAAAGGCAGGCATGGTGAGCTTATCATTTCAATATATCTATTATCAGAGAAAAAAGAGGGACTACATTATAAATTTTCTAGCATCCATTAGTGTGCTTACCTGTGTATATTATCCTGGCCAGAGGGAACCACACCCATGTTGGCAACATTAACAATCTTCTGAAGGATCACAGGGGGGGTGAAATTTTGTGGTGCAGCAATAATTACAGTAGATGTTTCATTCATTCCTGTTAGCATACCTGTAAAAGCAAAAGACGTTCTTGTTACTAATTTCTTTATGGAAATCACAATTTTATGAAAGCCAATTTTCACCTATTTTTTTACAACAGAAATATCACTCCAGAATTTAATTTTAAAGATCATTATCATAAAATGAAACTCTAATTGTTTCAACATATTTTTAACATTTTCATTGTGTAGAAAAATGCAAAAAATGGCTATCTCTCTGACTGAAGCTGATTTTAGTACTGTAAGTACAGAAATACAGATAAGAACTCTCATCTCTTTCAAGATATACTCAACCTAAATTATATAATCTACTTACGGCACATAACAACAACAACAACTTACTAAGTATATATATATATGTATATATACACACACACATATGTCTATATAAATATATATATATTTTTTTTTTCCCCTTTACTCAAGTAACACTCATGTCCAGACTCTCTGTGAGAGCAATTAAAAGTGACTCCAGAAATACCAGCAGCATTACTTGACGACTGGTCCCAATATGACAAATTAAAGTTATCTCAACAATGAAAGTTACTGATCTTGAAGTTCTAAAAAAAAAAAAATAAAATAAAATGCACATATTTGCTAAGTGAATGAAACTACAGTTACCAATAAAAATACCAATGAAAGATTCTGGAAGTAAAAAGTTAGAATGAAAAACTTATAAAATCCCAGAGAAAGTTCAGATTAACATTTAGGAAAGAAATTAGGTGAAATACAATTATAAACAAAACCCACACTGAGACATACCATTAATCTCACAGAAAATATTCAGTGAACAAATTTAATACCACTTGGAACAAAACTGAATTCAGTATCTGGGTTAAAAAGAACAATATAATTATAATCAGTGTCATCACTTTGGATGGTTGATGCAAGTCACGTAACTAATGGTATCTACATATGTGCACAATAACAAAATTTTTGAAAAATAGTAAAATTTGATTTTATCCTAAGGCCCTTGCATTTTGAGGCCTGTATATTTAATTATTGCTGCAAATGCAACCTGAAATTTAACAATTATCTCTATGATTAACAGCATGAAGATATTAAAGGTTAACACTATTAAAAAAGACTTATGCCATCAAATAGTAACTAGAACTATCTGGCTTGGAACAAAGAACAGTTTTTATTAACCACTCTCAAACTCAGGGAACACTATGTTCTCTTTTAGACTGTTTTACTTCAATATTAGGCAAAAGCTTTAAAAACCACACAAGCAGTCAAACATTGCTTTTAAGTAAAGCACAGTGGCTGACATAACACTGCTGAGAGATGTGTGTTCTCATTTAGGATTTAAACCTTCTCCATTAAGCTCTATTGAAGAGCAACTGCTGAATAAATGAATGCAACTATGTTTATGTTAAAAGCCTGTTTCCCGCAGCATGTAATTAAAGGAAATGTTGTACAAAGCCAGTACTTTTGTCAAGCTCCTGTAAATGGAAAGATGGATAGCACTCAGAGAACTGAATGCATTGCTTCATATTTAACCTTAACACTCTTGTCATTAATGGTTTGTCTAACTTGTTCTATAAAAGACAAGGTACTGCTCCATTGAAGTAAAATTAAAAAAATCAACTAAACCATGCTTTTCAGAACAGAAGATTCATTATCGTCAGCTAATGTATTGGCATAAAGCAAAGTAACATCCTATCAAGTAAGGCACACATTCAATCTGCCTTCCCACCCCCCTTTATTTTTAACTCATGCTGTTTTATTGTTATAGGCAATTTGTACCACTCAGCATGACAGTGTAAACTGAATCAAGATTAATTTACATGCAAAAGAACACTTAGGAGAGCAGCATGGTAAGCAAATGTATTGTCTCGATTGCTGAGGTGGAAAAAGAACCTGGAAAGAAAAAAAGGTGCTCTAATTAAGGGGCATCAAATATGATTGCTTGTGGTAGTTAAGGGCCAGAAAATAGTAAATGTCTGACCATTTAAAGAATTAGCATCTTGCTAGCTAGGAACCTATAAGATGGATGCATAAATCATAATAAAATTAAGCAAACAGTCTAGTTTTTTTAAAACCAGAGGTTTTTCTAAATGAAAATATATCAGGCATCCTCAAATTAACAAGAAAGGAAAATATGCCAAGGTATCATTAAAAGTTTCACCTATGAAAACAGACTTTAAAACACTGGTGAGTCTGGATATACGTATTAAAGTAAAATAACTGGGAAAAATATTTTCAAAATGTCAGATTATGAATCTGTTCCTTCATTAGGATTTATTTAAATTCTGGTGAAGGCAGTGGGTAATATTTAATTTTCGTTAATTACCTATAATTAATTACTACAGTGCAAACTAAGTAATGAAAGAAAATAAAACAAAATGTTTTCCAAAAGTTTTGATTTACAATTTAATTTATAAGAAAAAATGAACAAGAGAAGGCAGCCTGGAATAAGCAATCAGTTTGGAATCTTAAATTAAAACTGTCTCAAGAAACCAAAATATTTTTTCTAAGTGAAAAAAGCATTTACAGGTAGATTATTAACCAACTTTACAATGCACAAAACTCACAGCAAAGAATAAATCACAATTTTGTTGAAGGTTCATAAAATGAGTATTATTGATGACTTCAATACGTAGGATTAAACCATCTTTCATTCAGCACTTTGACTACCAATCTTATAACCATGTGTGTTTAGTCATGGAACCTTAAATATACTAAGTGTCTTAAAAAAGATAAATTACTTGTATTTTAAATAAAACTTTTTAAG